GCTCATGTTTTTCCGCTCCTGATTTGTACAGAAAACAGCGACTGCCCACTGTAACCAGTACTTTGGTTTCAAGGACATTAGTGGTCCCTGCATGAAGCACCTGAAAAATTAAGTCACACAAAACTGCCTCCTTGTGTGCTAGCAAAACACAACCTGGTAGTTAGGGTTGCCTTATTGATGTTTATTATTTATGTCATGACCACTGTAGAGCCTTAATCTCTACTGTGCATGGCCTGGGCACCAGGAGTGTATGAACTAACCTTCACCTCACTGGCCATTGTCATGGCTGCTTGATGTAGTCTGTGTGGACAGACATGGCCCTGCCCTTGATTAGCGTGCATTTTTAAGGCACAGATCCACATCCAGTTTGTTACTCCTCAGGGAACACGTGTTAATGAAAGCATCCAACACGTTACCCGTGCACATTTGCAATTGTTTGAGCTTTTATTTTACCATTTCTTTGTCCCTGGGCTCTTTTTTCCTGTGAGTAATAAGAAAAGAGATTCTTGTTGACAAATAAGCAAGCGTTCTCACTGCCTTCAACCAGTTCAGGAAAATTCCTGCATTGTGGGGATTCTTTCTGTTTTGGTCACTTGATCTTGTTGATTTGACTCATAGCTGGTTGCTGTTTTCCTTTTTTCAGCCCACTAGCCTGTGATTTTTTTTTTCAGCAATATAATTGCCATCAGTCCTTCTACCTTCTGATGTGGATGCCAGAGCTCGTTTGACTCATCAGTGACTCAAAAAAGTCCAGCTCTGGTATTTGAATGATCTGGTTAATTTTTTTTTTTTTTTAATCTTTTAGACTGCTTGTTCTCATGTTTTTCTGTCAGAAGCAAATGTCCATTTGCCCACTTGACAGACGTCCTCCTGTTTTGAGTGACATTACTGAATCATTTGCTCTTTTTTTTCTTAATTCATTGAAGCTGCAAATTAGAATTTGTTGTAGTATAGTTTCCTTAACCACTAAACGTTTGATTTGCTGTTGATTTTACTCCCTACTCAGTCTCTGCAATAATCACCTTCCTACTCATCCTCAGAAAGAATTGTCATCATTTCAGCTTAGACATCTGTCCTCTTAGAAGCTCTCAGTCTTATTATGTGAGGTCTCCTGTCAAAGAAAACTGTAGTGTTCCTGTAGTCAGAGAGTGCCAGGTTTTTCAGGTCTCCATATCACGTGACCCATGGAGGATGTCGGGAAAGAGTCTCCCTCTTGGGATGCATATTTGTCTATCTTGGCTGCAAAACTGTGAAATATTATGATTAAGTTTTTGGCATTTTCTTCTTGGACAACGAATTCCTCTCCTTGAGTTTTTGCTTTTGTTGTTGTTTTGTTACAGGTCCACCACATGTGACAGGTCCTAGATACCTGAATATAAGTCAAAATATAATCTCAAAAAGAATTTATTGTTTTAAGAAAGAATCCTATGTCCTCCAGTAAATGAAACCCTCCTCAAGCTCAGTTAGGGTGTAGCCACCTGTTTTATTCTATTAACTGCTAGTCCAAGGAAGGTTGAGTCCTCGTTATCTATCCATACCCTCGTTCTCTTATGGGTTTATGGGAGTTTGGAATTAACACACAGTACTATACGTAAAGACCTACTATATAGTACAGGGAACTCTACTCAGTACTCTGTAATAACCTGTATGGGATGAAAAAAAGAATAGATATATGTGTAACTGAATCACTTTGTCATACACCTGAAACTAACAATGTTGTAAATCAGCTGTACCCCAAAATAAAATTTTTAAAAAATAAAAAAAAATTTTTTTTTAGGAGAATATTTTTTATTTATTTATTTATTTATTTTTTCCATTTATTTTTATTAGTTGAAGGCTAATTACTTTATATCATTGCAATGGTTTTTGTCATACATTGAAATGAATTAGCCATGGATTTACATGTATTCCCCATCCTGGTCCCCCCTCCCACCTCCCTCTCCAAAATTATCATTGTTCCACATGCTGCAGCCTTCCTCATTAGCTCATGAGAGAGACCCAGTCTATAATACTGTAGTGGCAGCTAGCTTCTTAAAACTTTTACCTAAATCCATTTTTTACAAACAAATCTTTTTTATGAGCATTAGGATTCTGATAAAATATTTTATAAAGCAAAGCATCTTTCTGTGACTTTTTTCAGTTGTGATTTCAAAATGTTGTCTGTCCTGTGCCCAATCTTAGGTTGCTTATAGTCTACTGAGAAAGGTAGACATATGAACCAGTCAGTACTCTAATATTCATCTGATTAAAATACAAATGAATTAGTGTCAGTCTGCTGTCTGGGGCCTAGGTTTGGTACTCAGGAGGAGCTCAATAAATATTTATTGAATAAGTGAAAATTAAAAAATGTTTCATTTCAGATACTCTGTTTTCTAATGAATAGTAAGATAGGAATAAAAGGTCCTGATAATATTTTAGAAAAGCTAGTATTCTTTTAGCAAGGCATTATTTTAATTCATAGAATTATACCCCTCTCATGGACAAGTAAATATAATCACAGAGAAACATGAGCTATAGTTATCTCTTCTCTTTCCTGTGAATTCAGATAATGTCCTACATACTTAGCCTCAAACTAGAGTTAATAAAACTCTTCATCTCTCCTCTCATGAAGCAGAACACACATCCTTTGAGCCCCAGAGAAGTGTCATCCTTACTCCCCATGGAGTGGAGGTAGTCTTGGTCTCCTCATACTGTTTCAGGAGTCTTGATTCGAGGATTTTGTGCAAAGGAAAATTTTACTTACTTATGAACTGATTCATACTGATAAATGGCATGTCCATTCTCTCAATGATCCCCTAATTATGTAATTTTGGAGTTGTTTTTCTTCCTGGTAGCAAGCTCCCATTTGCAGGCCCTATTAGTCCTCCCACATCTTGGCTTGATGTAACTCTTGATTTCTCTTTCTTTGTTGTTTCTCTTTGGAACTCAAGCTTTTGAAATATGAACTGTTCTAAACCTCAGGAATCAACTTAATAATCTACTTTTTTCAAAATATGATTAGAGTTCGAGGATATCCCATAAGCTTCATGAGTTTTTTTGACTCAGAATTCTGAGAGGCTTCAATATGGCCTTGAGAATGTGCCAAGATGCTAGGTGTTATTGATGTGTATGTGTGTGTTTGTATGTTTTTGTATTTGTGTACCTAATGTGAATATTACTCTAGCATCATTTCATAAGCTTATTTTTTATATACATGAGTATATAAAGGAAGAGCATTATATAGATATATATAAAGTATATATATAGGAATATGAAGTATATAAAGTATATAAAGGAAGTATACATAGGAAGGGCAAGGAAATGCAAAAGAAGAGCATTTTTTATCATAACACCCCCCCACACACACATTTTGCCTAAAGAGACCTGAGTTCAAATGTTGACTCTGAAATACCATGGAAGTGAGCCTAGTATACCATATATAGGTATAGGTATACCTATATGGTATAGGTATAGGTATACCATATCCTCTGGCTCATTTCAGAAAGATCCAGTGAGGATTAACCCAGATATGATATTTCTTGATACATGAATTGATTGCCCAAAACATCAGTTGATTCCAATATGATGTATCTGTAAGGAATGTGGAACAAGAAAGATATTCTATGTCTCTGATGTTCTGCTCCTATAGTAGTGCCCATGCCATTTATCTAAATCATCCAAAATGTTTTCTTCAGCACATGGTTCCAAGTTTTTAAAGATGGGAAGAAACAGAAAGTTCTTTTCTTTGAGCAGTGTTCTGAAGTTTACAAAATGCATTCTTGCATGTGATCCCACTTGATCCTCATGACAGCTCCCCAAGCTGTGCAAGGCATTTCTCAGGCTCCCCATTGTATAGCTGCATTAACCAAGAAACAGAGAGCCAAGTAATATTGCCTGACTCTACATACCCAGTCAGGAGTGTGGTCTTGGAGGGAACTCAGGGTTTCTCCCCTCTGACTTGGTAATATTCTCCAAGCACTAATATGACTGCTTGGAACATAGACTCAGATTTGTATATGTAGACTACTCTTTAGTCCTTACAGGTCTATTGGTCAAAAAACTTTCAATGGAAGCTCAGCATCAAATACTTGGAGTTAGAGGCAACCCAGAGGGGTCTGGTTGGGGAATGATCAGGGGGTTAGATTGCATAGCCATAAGGAAGTGGATGGTCAAAGAGTAAATATTTTATGGTGTGGTACCATAGGGTCAGAGGTAGGACATGGCTTAGGCAAGTAAGACAGTTTTAGGGGCAGGAGTTTTAGAATAAAGGGTGAATGTCACAGAAGCCAAAAGGATATGATTGGACTGCAAGGGGGCTTTGAAGGTTCTCTCTGTTCTGACCATCTGCCAGTCCAAAGAAGATACAACTTATGGTGTGGTGGTTGAGCCACTCAGGAAAAGGCTGGTCATGTGAAAGAGAAGATATGTCCTGTCAAGCGGAGGAATGAGTTTTGCTCTAAAGTTTCACATCACCTGTTACTCTCAGGTTCTTCCTTGTAATTCCCACTTAAAAAAAAAAAAATCATTTATTTATTTCTGGCTGTGCTGGGTCTTTGTCTGGGTCTTTGTTGCTGTCTGTGGGCTTTCTCTAGTTGCAGCGATCCAGGGCTGGTCTCTAGTTGTGGTGTGCAGACTTCTCATTGTGGTGGCTTCTCTTGTTGCAAAACACGGGCTCTAGGTACACTGACTTCAGTGGCTGCAGCGTGTGGGCTCAGTAGTTGTGGCACACAGGCCCAGCTGCCCCTTGGCATGTAGAATTGGCCTAGACTAGGGATCAAACCCATGTCCCCTACATTGGCAGGCAATTTCCCAACCACAGGGTCCACGGGGAAGTCCTCCCACTTGTGATTCTTATTTGTCCTGTAATTCTTCCCTATGTCCTTTTCCTAGTTTCATCAGCACCAGAGAGCACCGTGTAACCTCATTATTTATAAACTTTTGGATAGGTAGGAACAGACTATCCCAATGGAATCAAATGGAATAATATTAATATGGGGTTTGTGGGTTTTTGTCCCCCACAGAGGAACAAAGAAACAGCCTCATCAACTCCAGTTTGGAATCTGTCGTCTCTTCAAATGCGAACAGCATCCTCAATTCCAGCAGCAGCTTACAGCCCAACATGAACTCCAGTGACCCAGACCTGGATGTGCTCAAACCCACCCGGCCCAACTCGCTGTAAGTATGATGTCCGGCTGCCGGCCACAGGTGGGGTCTTGTCAGCCATTCTACCCAGAATGTGCTCTCTGGCTCCCCCTGACTTTGAGTATTGTCCCATGAGCCCAATGTAAACCTTCTCCCTCAACTTGGAAGCTTGGCTAATAAGTTTATTTCACATTTTTTAAGCATCATCATCTCGAAGGGGAACATACTGCTTCTTGGCCTTGGTGACGTTTGACCTACCATCCTGCTGAGATGGCTTTGGTGATGGCTCCTTGCCTGTGCTGGCTGCTGGGGCATGAAAAACTATTTCTTTTAGTTTTACAAACATCCGGGCACTGTAGTAGCTCAGTAGATCAGTAGCTACATTTGTTTCACTCATTTGTGTTGTCGCAGTTTCCCCCCTTCTCCCCAACTTTGTTGAGTATGTTCAATGCTATCTGTCTCCACTGCTAGAGAGAATAGCTCCAGGAGCCCTTTGAGTCTTTGGCTCCTCAAATCTTAGCATGACCATGATCACAGAGCAGATGCTCTAAAAGAGAAGAACCTCTGTTGCTTCATTCTTGGGCATTGAGCACCCACAGCTGAGACAGGCAATTTTGAGGCTGGTTGTCCAATCCTCCACGGAAACTAGATCTACTCTGCTTGGGCCAGAAAGTTCTCTCTTGTGGTTGCATCCCACATTACTTAGCTTGCTTCTTCAGACCACCCCATAAATCTCATCCACTAAAGCCTTTGCAGAAAGAATGTGAGGCCATGACCAGAACAACTGGACCCTCCGGCCACAGTTGTATGAAACTCAGGAAGAGCAGAGTTGACTTTGCCTTTCTCTGGTGAAAATAGTTTGAGGTTCAGCCACAAATTGCCTTCAGGTCAGTCGTTTCTCTTGGTGAGACACCAGCATGTTAGAACCTTTCCTACCCTTCTCCTTGCTGTGGTTGCATGATTGCACCCCGCCATTCTATCTCACATATTTACAGACCCGCAAAATGGGTCTAACATGTTTTTTCCTTAGAAGAGACTAAGGGATACTAAGGGTTGGAATGAGAAATGACTCTAAAATGGGTAAGAGGTGCTTAGAAAATGCAGCCACAGTGTAAGATGAAACTGTACATTGAGAAAATCAGGTCTCTTTTTAATTGTTGACAGCTTTAAATCCTACCTTGATATTCAAGAAGTTTAATTACTTACCTGTTATGAGGTAGATGATGTGTTTGTTTACCAAGAAGTATCCTCAAATGTTCAAAATAATGTAACTTGTTCAGCTTGTGGGCAGTGAGTCCCTTCTGGTTCTCCACAGCCAATGGAGCCTCCCTCCATTGATGGATGGCTCCCTCAGGGTCTCCTAACACTGCTTTCCTAGACTTTAAGGAGATTCTGGTTCCTTTTCTTCCATTTTGTTTACGCCTCTCTACCTTGCAGTTGCTGAGGTTATTTGTTGCTCATCATGAGCACAGTTGCTCAACACTCCCTGATTTTCACCAGCAGCACCAACTACTGGTCTTGAAGCTCTGTTTTCAGCAGCTGGTGTCTGGGAACCCCTGAGGCTTTGTTGAGTATAGTGTGTCCAAAGAGGCTGCTTCAGCAGTTACATGGAAATGGGGGTTGTGTCCTTTAAACAGGTCATGGATGAGGGGGCTTGTGACTTTTTATTTTTTGATGTCTAGTTGTGATTTTTTCGAGAACCCAGTCATTTGTCATGTGCTATGAAATGTACAAAAGTCATACTTTAAGTAAGCTAGATTTGTTTTATGTAAAACACTAGCTATCACTTTACCTGCTTCATGCCATCCACAGGACACATGCCTACCTGCTATAGGTTTGGGGGCTTTCCCAGGGAAGGGAGTATGAGGCCAAGAACAGTCTCCTTGTTTGGTGGAGGATGGGAGGCTGGAATGTGGGTATGTTTCTTGCTGGGCTGTTGTCTTCCATTCAAGGGAATAGCTAAGTGATACCTGGGAATCCTGAGCTCCAGGAAGGCTGCTGCTCTTGAGGTAGAAGCAGTGCTGACACTGGGGTTTGCCTCAGCCCTGATGAGGGCCATGTCAATGGCTCCACACTGCAGCTGGTTCACCACCCATTTCTGAAACCCAGAGCCAGGAGAGGTTGTCACCCAGTTTGTGCCTGCCTGGTTTTCTCTGCCTGGGATTGGCCTGGATGGACCATACACAGACAGACTCGAGATTACCCTGGCAAATGCAAGCCGCAGCTTTTCCCTGAGGCTGTGAATTCTGAGAGGTCTGAAGCACCTTCTGCTGTGGTGCTTGGGCTCTGTCACAACCAGTCCAGGCTACTTGGGTCTCAGCACTGGACCCTTTCATTCTTTCCATCCTTGCTCACTTTGAGGTGCACCAAACTCCTTGAATGGGGAACACTTAATGATGCAGATGAGGACACAAGACCAAATCAAGGGGTGGGGGATTCCCACTACGTTGAATATAAATTAGGCATAAGGTGGGGAACCAGTCACCAGAAAACTGTCCGTTTTTTTTTTTATTTCACTCATTTGTTTTTCATTGTTTTCATAATGACTGGGATGATCCTTCTGACCACATAACAATCATAATGAAAGAAACATATTTGTGACTCGGCATCTTTGGTACTTCGGAGGCCATATTTTGCTGTCTCATTGGTAAATCTTTCCTAATTCTCCAAGGGGATGAGTGCCCCCTTGTTTGTGTGGACATAATGCTAAAGCTGGCATCGGAATCAGAGATGCTACCATTTCAGCCTTGCTTGGACAAGACTTTGGGGATCCTGTCTTTGGAAGGTCCTCAGCCATCTCTCCTAAAGATCAAAGAGCACTTTAGCTTATCTGAAATGGTCGGTGGAGATCACTGACCAAATTTGTGCTCAGACCTCTGCTGAGCTTCCTGTGGTAAAGGAGAAGGAGAGAATTCTGGGCCTCCCTAGAAGTTTATACTCTGGTTGAGGAAGAGAGACAGCGGTAAACGACAGTGCTAAATGCAACTTAGAGCTCAGAAGTGCATATAGAGTTCAACAACTCTTAATTGGGTATTTGTTAGGTACACAAGCCAGTCTAGTGTTGGGAAAGGTGGAGTAGACGAAATGTGAGGTGGCCACTAGGTAAGATGATATGAATGGATGGAAGAGCATTTCTGGTAAGGGGATGAGGGAGGCAGAGGTGATCCAGGATGCAGAAAAGTATTCTACGGAAATGTGTATTGGAGGAAGGGTAACTTAGTTGTCATCTCAGCATGACCACCGGGGGAAAAAAAAAATTGAACCAACCTTTAAGATCAGGTCACTTCACAAAAAAATCCAGATTTCATACTGGCTGGAACCACTAGACATACACACACACACACAAATGAATTTAGACATAGACCTTACAAGTTTCACAAAAATTAACTCAAAATGGATCATATACCTAAGTGTAAAATGCAAAACTATAAAATTCTAGAATACAACATAGGAGAAAAACTAGGTGTCTTTGGGTTTGGCAGTGACTGTTTCAATATTGCACCAAAAGCATAATCCATGAAAGAAAAAATTGGTAAGTTGGACTTCATTTAGGCTAAAAGCTTCTGCTCTGCAAAAGACATTATTAAGAAAATGAAAAGCCAAGCCACAGACTAGAAGAAAACATTTGCAAAATGCATATCTGATAAAGGACCAGTATGCTCAATATTAAAGCAAGGATATATCATTCCACACCTATTAGAATGGCTAGCCTCCAAATCACTGACATCAAATGCTGATGAGGATAAGGAGCAACAGAAGTCTCATGCATTGCTGGTGGGAATGCAAACTGAGAAAGCCACTATAAAAGGCAAGCTGATTGCTTCTTATAAAACTAAATGTAGACTTATCACACAACACGATCAAGCGACCACACTCCTCGATGTTTATTCAAATAAGTTGAAAACTTACATTCACAACAAAATCCTGCCCACAAATATAAATAGCAGCTTTATTCATAATTGCCAAGTTGGAAGCAACCAAGTCATTCTTCAGCAGGTGAATGAATAACCAAACTATGATACATCCAAACAATGGAATATTATTTGATGTTGAGAGGAAATGAGCTATCAAGTCATGAAAAGACATGGATGAACCATAAATGCATAAAGCCACTCTGAAAAGACTATAGTATGGTATGATACCAACCACATGACATTTTGGAAAAACAGAAAACTACAAAATCAGTAAAAAGATTAGAGGGCAGGAAGGACACAGGGTTTTTTTAGGACAGTGATACTTTACTATATGATACTCCAAAAGTAGATATGACATTATACCTTTTCAGAACTCATAAAACCCATAGAACAGAAAGAGTGGATCCTAATGTAAGCTGTGGACTTTAGTTGGTAGTTAATAATGGTAATAATAATGTATCAAAATTGGTTCATCAGTAGCTATAAATGTACCACAGTAATGAAAGGTGTTAATAACAGAAGAAACTTAGGGAAAGAGGAGAGTTATATGAAAATTCTAAGTTATTTTGAGCAATTTTTTATAAGCTTAAAACTGCTCTAAAAAATAGGCTATTAATAGATTTTTTAAAATCTAGATTTCCAGTTTCTGAGAAGTTAAAAGATTTGGCCACTTTAAATCCGTATGTTTTCTGGTGACAGGTGAAACTCTTTAATCCCTTGCTTCTTATGGTCCCAGTTCATTCCTTTCTGTCTCAGAGGCCTATGATAAATATGGCCCGAGAGTCTTTGCAGCTACTCCCCCTAAGAGGTGGAGCTGTTGAACTTAGGCTGGCCTTTACCCTCTGACTTGATTTGACCATCATATGACTTCCACACCAGGCCACAAGGCCCTGCAGTTTCCTGTCTCATCCTCTTAGAACCCAGTCACCATGTAAAAAAGCCCAGTCCAGCCTCCTTGAGGATGAAGGACTATTGGAGAGAGAAGGCCTACTATCCCAGCTAAGCCCAGAACCTGGGCCACCAAGTCAGCCAGTGTAGCCACATGAGTGAGTCCAGGAAAGAGCAACAGAAATGCTGCCCAGTTAACTCACAGATTCATGAGGAGTAATACATTGTGGT